TGTTTACTCGCTGTTGTAATACCGCCCCGACGGCTTTTTGTGAAGCATCTGTGCATAGGATCAACTGTGTTGTGGGGTCAGTATTTAGATGTTGAAGCATGGTAGCATTAGCAATCATGGATTTAGCTTTTTCGAATGCTACTTTAGCATCAGAAGGTAACTTAAATATTTGGTTTTTTTCTTTCTTGGTACCTGATTTATCATTTTTCAGTAAATCTGTCAATGGCTATTGTACATCGGCACAATTTGGTAGAAATCGACGATAAAAATTGCATGTTCCAGAAAACGACGTAGTGATTTTACTGAGGTTGGTTCTGAGTAGCTGGAGATGGCTTTGACTTTTTCTTCAAGCGGTTTAATTCCTTGGGAATCAATATGGTGTCCTAGGAATTCCAGAGATGAGGCTGCAAATATGCACTTCGAAGGGTTGATTACAACACCATAACTAATGAAACGTTCAAAAAGCGTGTGTAAATGCTGGACATGTTCTTCAGTGGAAGAACTAGCGATTAAAACATCGTCGATATAGACAAATACAAATTCCAAACCTCTAGTTACTTCATCCATAAATCTCTGAAAGGTTTGAGCGGCGTTTTTTAGTCCGAAAGGCATCCTCAAAAATTCAAACAAGCCAAAAGGTGTAATTACAGCTGTTTTTTCGATATCTTCAGGCGCCATCGGTATTTGATGGTATGCTCGGACTAGATCTAACTTTGAAAAAATCTGTTTTCCATGTAAATTTAAAGAAAAATCATGTGAATGAGGGATTGGATACCTGTCTGGTATAGTCTGGTTATTTAGTCGGCGATAATCTCCACATGGGCGCCAGTCTTGATCTTTCTTGGGAACCATATGCAACGGCGAGGCCCAAGGACTGTTAGATTGTCTGATTATCCCAAGCTGCATCATGTGTTCGAATTCTCTCTTAGCGAACTGCAACTTGTTTGGAGGGAGTCTTCGCGCCCTGGCACGAATGGGTGGTCCTGTAGTAGAGATATTGTGTTGAACATGATGTGTGGAGCATTCGTTTTGGTAATCAGTTCTGGTTATGCTTTCGTACTTCGACAGGATATCAGTGAAAATTTTGTTTTCAGGTCTTAACATTCGAACGCCATGAATTTCGTAATTCGAGGCAGGAGTGCCACTGACCTGCAAACTTGTGTTCTTGTCAATAAGTTTCTTTTTCCCCATGTCTACCAATAGGCTGTAAGCACCAAGAAAGTCGGCCCCGAGAATGGGTTGTTTAATTTCAGCTACGATGAAAACCCATGTGAAACGTCTACGGAGACCAAAATCTAAGATGAGTGATTGTTCACCATAAGTTTTAATGACTGTGTTATTAGCAGCGACTAGAGACAATTTAGTACTTTGCGAGTGCCGTCGTTGAGAAAGGTGTAATGGGACTATGCTGATTTCGGCTCCTGTATCGACCAAAAAATCTGACCCCGAAATCCGATCCCTGACGTGAAATAGACGGCTCGGGTAGTGGCCAGAAACAGGCGCCGCCATCACTGTCTGGCCGTCTCGTTTCCCTGGTCCTTTGGGTTGCTTATTTTAAAGTTGCATGGTTTAGTGCAACGGCGTGCCTTCTCCCCGAAAGTCGCGTGATACCAGCAAGTATCTGATATCCGTTTGGGTGACCTAAGACGAGGTCTGGATACTGATCTCCTTCTGGACCTAGATCTGGCAGGTCGAGAATGGATGGTAGAAATAGTCGCTCGCAGTGCTGCTAGCTGTTGTGTTAACTGTGTTATTTGTTGTTGGATGCTGTTAGATGGGCTAATCGTGTCTCCACTAGAGGTCTGTAGTACATTCAAACGTTGGTTGTCAGGATAAATCTCCATCATTTTGTCAGCCATATCAGCTAGATCGTCGAGATTGACGGAAGTTCCTGATATGCTGAGAATTTGGGTGACATTCTGTGGTAAACGTTGAAACCACATCTGTTTAAGCAATGCATCGTCTACCTTATATGACCCTGCTAAGTGTTTCATATGTCGGAGTAATTGCGAGGGTCTCTTGTCCCCCAATTCGCAAGAAGTTAGCAATTGCTGCAGTCTTCTCTCGTCTGAAACCGAGGTGCATTGGATTACGGCTGTCTTTAATTTATCATAAGGTTCAGCTTCTGGCACGTGATCGATTAAATCTCCGACTTCCGCAGCAATCTCGATAGGGAGTGCCCCAACTACATAAGCATACTTTGTTGCCTGAGATTTTATACCTCTAGCCATGAACAAGGCTTCGATTTGTGCAAACCAGATTCTGGGATTATTAACGCCGAACGTTGGTAGTCTTAAGTCTGAAATTGCGTTGATCGAGGTTAAGGCATTATCTTCTGATTGTGAAGCGTTCAAGGAGTTGATCAGTGGACTATCTATATCAATGAGTTTACCAGGAGAATTCATGATGGCAAAAACAAATATAAATGAACTAGCGTGCCAAGTAATAAAAAAATGAATATATATATAAACAGTAAACGTCTATAATGAATTCAAGGCTCACCAAATAATTGTGGTGGACCAAACAGATATGAACACAAAAAATATAAACAAAGTTATTAAAAATCAATAGTAATATTAATATATATAATTAATTGTCACAAATACAATAATAATGGGGGACGTTACTTAAGTTGATCAGACGTCGCGTGTTAGGATTAGGTCCAGTAAAGTAAATCCACAATTATAAATGTTTGTTGATTCCGAACAAGTTGGTGAACTCTCTAATGGTATAATCCAATGTTGAATATGATATATTTCGGTTACAGTCTATAAATGAAGATAGAATTTGATTTAGAATTCGGATATCTCAATCACAAATGGAAATAGAACGATGAGTGTGCGAGAAGCATTGTATTTGTTAGCTAACAGTGGTATGTCGCACAATGTAGTACTACAACGGAAGGTGTGTTCAAGGTCATTTACTAAAACAACAGTTACAGTCATTTAATGTTAAATATACATACCGTGGAAGGTTGACAAAGTAAATACAAATAACATTGAAAACTATTTACAAAATAAGCTTGTCAGGTCCATCTCCACAAATAGACTAATAATTATCTTTAGTTAGTGAGTCATTCATGTTGGTAGTCGTAAAGTAATTTACTCATTCAGACAAATTTACTAATATAATAGAATATTTAAATTAAAGGAAATAAGTTTCTTCATTGTTCTTAGCTTCTATTAATTTATACCTGAATGTGTATCAAGACGAACGATTGTTCTAATTTCAGTTTCAATAAAACATTTTAATGATTTTCAGAAAGTTAGTCTATTAGGTATTAACTCTTTCCATATACGTTATGATATAGTACAAACAAATTCACTAACAAGACCCATTGAAATAATAGAAAAGGCTGTTCGGAAAAGATCAGCTACTTTACTAAATAATCAATTCATTCTTTTTATAACCATCAATAGTCGAAAATTTCAAAGAAACGGTTTTAAGCTAAATGTGTACTGTATTTCAAAAATCATTATTACATTTTTTATATTCAGTAAATTCTTTGGTAAAATAAGATTTATCTGCAGGTGCTACTTATCCTTTTATCAGTAAAAGAAGGAAAAAATAGCAATAATAGCCAGTGATTATTGAATAACCCATTTAATAACTGCTTTAATTTAACAATATGTAATCGTAATGTGATTAGAATAATAAAATTCTAAGTTCTAATAGCAAAGAGGATTTGTGGTCATCGATCATTCTTGTGGATTCGTACTATTCTCTGACTATGGCTAGATAACAATCGTAAAGCTCGAAACATGCGACACCTGTTTTGTTTGAACATATGAACCATCTCAACTCTCGTTCTTGACATTAAATGATCAGACATTGGAACTTGAGGCTTCTCAATAAGCTATTAACATTCAGACGACCAAGTTTGTACCTAATGGTTTAAACTTCTAACTTCAATAATGATCAAAAACCGCCCAGTGTCATTGAATGGAAACCTTCACATTATCGACTAGGTTGAATTTTATTGATCACAGCAACTTACTAAAAGTCAGGAAATTAATTCTCGAAATTCCTTAGTGGTAAACATATGTTTATTCATAGTAGATAGGCTTTTACAGTATTGTGGAGTCTTTCACTACTAAGAAATGGCCGTTCGATCTTGTAATTATTTAGTGATTTGAATTAGGAAGTGATGCACTCGTCATAATGAGTAGTGGATTGAGTTTTGAATGCTTTGCAACTTAGAACAAATCACTTCTTCAGAGGTAAGCTAACTTAAATGAACTAACTTTGAACAGGATAAGGGAATAAATCGTGCATTTCGCAAGCACACGTTTCGATTGAACGAAAAGGAAAAAAATTAAGTTTACGCTAAAGCCTCATTAATGCTTATTGAATAACAATTAAATATCCAATGTACTTTACTTTAAACCATCCTAGGCAGAATTAAATAAGTTAACAATAGACTGTTATGAAATATAGACGTTCACTACAAAGATCATCAGTTTCACATCCAAATATTCAGTACAACTGAAAAATGGTATAGAGTCACGCTATAGTGAAAATGTTTTAAATCAGGTATATATATGTATATACTTGCAAAAGTTTAGAATCCATATTCTCACATGAAGACGAAATCAGTTTATCATCTTTAACTGGTAACATGTAAAATTCAAAAGTAGTAATTTCCAACTATATAAAAGTCACGTCGCAGAAATCGACAAGTTTGTAATAACTTACGTAGAATTTACTGAAGAAACAACGACCAAACATGATACACATACGCTTTGAAATACATTGATTATTCCATTTTGATAATAAAAAAATATTCAGAAATTCCACTCATTTTTCCTGTATTTCTCATCTAAATATAGAATCAACAAATTCAATCTAGATCTCTTGTTACTTCACAATTCATACAAATTGTAAAATAAAATAGAAAGGCATTTAACGAGAAATCAGATCTCTTATCAGAAATATTTTTGACGGAAATCTTCAAAACAAATTATCAGATATGTGTGATCCATTCACCGTGAAGTGAAAAACTATATAGATGCCGCTGTTGCTGCTGCTGCTGCTGTTGCTGCTGCTGTTGCTGCTGTTGCTGCTGCTGCTGCTGCTGCTGCTGCTGCTGCTGATGATGATGATGATGATGATGATGATGATGATGATGATGATGATGATGATGATGATGATGATGATGATGATGATGATGATGATGATGATGATGATGATGATGATGATGATGATGATGATGATGATGATGATGATGATGATGATGATGATGATGATGATGATGATGATGATGATGATGATGATGATGATGATGATGATGATGATGATGATGATGATGATGATGATGATGATGATGATGATGATGATGATGATGATGATGATGATGATGATGATGATGATGATGATGATGATGATGATGATGATGATGATGATGATGATGATGATGATGATGATGATGATGATGATGATGATGATGATGATGATGATGATGATGATGATGATGATGATGATGATGATGATGATGATGATGATGATGATGATGATGATGATGATGATGATGATGATGATGATGATGATGATGATGATGATGATGATGATGATGATGATGATGATGATGATGATGATGATGATGATGATGATGATGATGATGATGATGATGATGATGATGATGATGATGATGATGATGATGATGATGATGATGATGATGATGATGATGATGATGATGATGATGATGATGATGATGATGATGATGATGATGATGATGATGATGATGATGATGATGATGATGATGATGATGATGATGATGATGATGATGATGATGATGATGATGATGATGATGATGATGATGATGATGATGATGATGATGATGATGATGATGATGATGATGATGATGATGATGATGATGATGATGATGATGATGATGATGATGATGATGATGATGATGATGATGATGATGATGATGATGATGATGATGATGATGATGATGATGATGATGATGATGATGATGATGATGATGATGATGATGATGATGATGATGATGATGATGATGATGATGATGATGATGATGATGATGATGATGATGATGATGATGATGATGATGATGATGATGATGATGATGATGATGATGATGATGATGATGATGATGATGATGATGATGATGATGATGATGATGATGATGATGATGATGATGATGATGATGATGATGATGATGATGATGATGATGATGATGATGATGATGATGATGATGATGATGATGATGATGATGATGATGATGATGATGATGATGATGATGATGATGATGATGATGATGATGATGATGATGATGATGATGATGATGATGATGATGATGATGATGATGATGATGATGATGATGATGATGATGATGATGATGATGATGATGATGATGATGATGATGATGATGATGATGATGATGATGATGATGATGATGATGATGATGATGATGATGATGATGATGATGATGATGATGATGATGATGATGATGATGATGATGATGATGATGATGATGATGATGATGATGATGATGATGATGATGATGATGATGATGATGATGATGATGATGATGATGATGATGATGATGATGATGATGATGATGATGATGATGATGATGATGATGATGATGATGATGATGATGATGATGATGATGATGATGATGATGATGATGATGATGATGATGATGATGATGATGATGATGATGATGATGATGATGATGATGATGATGATGATGATGATGATGATGATGATGATGATGATGATGATGATGATGATGATGATGATGATGATGATGATGATGATGATGATGATGATGATGATGATGATGATGATGATGATGATGATGATGATGATGATGATGATGATGATGATGATGATGATGATGATGATGATGATGATGATGATGATGATGATGATGATGATGATGATGATGATGATGATGATGATGATGATGATGATGATGATGATGATGATGATGATGATGATGATGATGATGATGATGATGATGATGATGATGATGATGATGATGATGATGATGATGATGATGATGATGATGATGATGATGATGATGATGATGATGATGATGATGATGATGATGATGATGATGATGATGATGATGATGATGATGATGATGATGATGATGATGATGATGATGATGATGATGATGATGATGATGATGATGATGATGATGATGATGATGATGATGATGATGATGATGATGATGATGATGATGATGATGATGATGATGATAAATTTTGTGTCATGTATACGGAAATTAGATTGGATGCGTTAATATAGTTTACTACCAATCGGGTGTATGTTATATTTCATTTAGATACTAATTGATTTCTATTCGGTTTAACACCTTCATCGTGTTAATTTGATTTATGCAAATTATCATTCACACTTATTATTTATACAAGTAACCTACGAATATCCTCTTCTCTTACCGGCCATGTTTCACTGCCAAAAAGTAGGACGGAACGAACTATTGCGCAGTATATTCATCCCTTGTTTGGTAAACGGCTATCTCGTCTACGCCGTAAATGACGCAAGTTGGCGGAAGCTAGTCGAGCCTTCTGTATCCGTGCTGAGATTTCGTCACACACCAGACCACAAAGTCTGACATGACTCTCAAGATAAGTGGAGTGGTCGACACGCTAAAGTACTTCACTCCTTATCATTAGTTCAAGTGCCGCTGCAACCCAATACTGAAGCAACATTTTAAAATTCGAGGGGGAGAATCGCATCCCAAACATGCTTGTATTTTTGCTTACGGTGGTTAGAAGACTGCATTTTGTCAGCATGTTCGCAAAATACCATGAAACCCAAGATCCTAAGGTTTCACAGCGGGAGCTGTACTTATTGGAATCCATCGAATTTATTAGTGGAACATATAACTCTAATGCAGCTGAACAGCTGGCATATAGTATTTTTGATTAGTTGAAAGTGAAAATATGAACTAATAGATTTCACCTCAATGATCTGAAGATTTCTTAATGAGGCTGTGATTTAATTGTTTTCGGTTTTCTATCATATAGTGTCAAAAGCACTAAGTGCTGAGAAGTTTGGAACTAGGATAAAATATCCATGAAGTCCTCTGTTGTTTGAAATGGCTCTCAGATTATGTTGATTTATTTTAATGTATATAATGGAACATTAAACCTTCGTAGATTTGGATCATGTTTAATTATTTATTTGGTTTTCCATACACTATTGATAATACATTAACCTCCTATCCATCTTATGTGATGATGTTCACTTATGAATATATACATTCAGTAATTTCATAGCATTTTCACAAATATTTACTTTAATTTCAACAGAGACAATGACCCAAACACTAGATGTTGCAGAAAATTCTTGGTATTTATTCAACATTAAACAAGCTGGATTTTATCGTGTTCATTATGCTGACAATAACTGGGAACTATTGACAGAATAGTTGTATAAAGATCATCGTGTGACTGGTAACCGTTATTTGAAAAATGCTTAAGATTAATCACTTTCAAGGTCTATAGAAAGATAATTACTTTGATAAACTAGCGTATGATTGTGAATTATCGGTTAACAATTTATCCAATTAAGGTTGTATAGACGTCACAATAATTGAAATGATTTAGACTTAATAACATTTTATTTATAGCAAAGTAATATTTGAAATCGTTTTAGCCACATAGTGAACAATCATTTTTATTCTTATTGAGATCGTGAATCGACCAATGTTAGACCATCATTGAAAACTTGAATGCACTGGACTATCGTTTCCTAATATTATTGGACACCTTAGTAGTCCATATGTACGATCCCGCACGTGAGATTCGAACCCAGAATCTTCGTTCTCGAGAGAATGCTTAACCTCTAGACAACTAAGATGGCATCCAACGGTGTTAATATCTAACTTGAACCAATTCACAATAAAATCGACCGATTCTTGGTCACAATAAAAACTTAACAATCTCCATAACTTTACTGATAATCACTTTGTATTTACTAAATAAAAAATTAATTGATTCGATATTTCCTATGATTATATTATATTATATTATATTATTAGAAGCTTTATTCAACATTATATTTTTGGTACAACATAGAATTCTCAGCATAAAGTATTTTAACAAGTTTCCTTTTCTTATACCTTGATCTATTGTGACGATAAATTTCGAATGATGACCGGTTAGATGTTAGGAGTTCGGTAATCCACATTTGATTAATGTTCGTTCGTTTCAATGCATATTGCCAGCCACCATGATGTCGATGATTGCACCTTTTTGTATCACGTATAGCGAAAGGTTGTAAACTTTTCAGAAACGCGCCTGAATAGGTTGTGTGCTTAATGAACATAATGATGAACTTAAACAAACAACAAAACAGATAACTTGATGAAATATGTAGATCGGAGGAACAGGTAGCCTAGGTATTCAAGCAGGCCGCCAGTTATTATTCCACTTCATTCACGAACACAAATTTTGGATGACTTATTCAACTTGGCGAAGTGAGTGTACTTACCTATATTCATTGTTTGACATAATATCATATGATATGCATTCGATTTAAATTAAACTTTTATTATTTACATATTTAAATGAACAGTTTCTTGTTAGACCATTTTGAAGATATAAATCTATAAAACGTTTTATTTTGTTGGTCAGGAACTTATAGTATATACATTAAAACTATAATTGAATTGAATATATGCGTGAATAAGTTAAGTAATTTCCGACTTCAAAAGGTTTGAAATATAAATAACGGGTAATACTGACTATTATGACATTGAATCTCTTTACCCCGTGATACCGATTATGACTTCACCTTGATCTGTCTAGATTTAACTATGACCTTGACGCGATAGGGTGAGCGGCTTAACCTTGAAATCTATCACGCGTGAGTTCGAGATGGGGTAGAGAGATAACTATTCTAGAACCTGATTGGTTGGCAAGCACGCAAGTGAGAGAAGACAAGACAGTTGGAACACTGAACTCTGGATTCTCTGAATTCGGATTAGCACAAAAATGTACATGAATAAATAAGTGAATATCTTGACTACGACGTACAATAATTTGGAAAAATACAGTTATGTCCGAAACAGGGAATTAGGGTAGAAAATACAGTGCAAAATATTATGTTTAAATTACAATATTTTCGGAACCAAAAAGAGTATGCTAGTGAATGATACATAGAACGAAAGCTCGTGTTATGTAGAATAAGATAAGGACAAAAATAAATATGTGTTTTACAGGGTTTGAATGAAATGCAATAACGTCCCAAGAAAATAGCTTTCGTGATTGTCTGGGCTTCTTAATTCCCCGTTCATAACACCTTCCCCCTTAAAAAAAAAAGAAAGAAATATGGTTAGTTACTTTATACAGGTAAGTGCTGAGATATCATCATTGATATCTTCCTTCAGAAACGTATGTTCTCCTCTTTGGGTCTACCTGTAGAATATCTGGCCTTCTGCGTTTCCGTGATGCTTTTCTAATAGGACTTTGATTATGTTGCGCAGTCTTCTGAGTTTCTGAGCATTTTATGTCGAAACTGTCTAGAATGATTCCCCACATTGAGTCTAATTTCTCGGTTTTCTGTGAAGTGCCAGCATTTTCCATTATGTGGTTGACATGGCGTGTCCACTTCTGTCCTTCAACTTCCACCACATACATAACGTTTCCTTGTCTTTTAAGTATGCGTCCACTGGTCCATTGTGGAGGTGAATATCGGAAATCACGGACGTATACTTTTTGATTTTTTTGGAAAATTCTGCGTTTTGCCCCATGATGGCGATCAAATTGGCTTTCCATCTTTCTGTTTCTTTTTGCGATGTCTATTTGCTGTGGTTTTATGGCATCGAGAGCAGTTCTTACTTTTCTACCAAACGTAATTTCTGCTGGGGACATTTGATTTGGTGTTGATGGGTTTGGAGTTGTTCTATAGACCAAGAGAAAGTCATCAGGAATCTCCTCTATTTTTCCCTCCCCTTTTGCCTTCAGTAGCGCTCTTTTGAATGTATCTACAAACCTTTCGGCCTGACCATTCGATTGTGGATGGTACGGAGGTGAACGGACATTTTTGACTCCAAACCTCTTGCAGAAATCTGAGAAGATGGAAGAAATAAACTGAGTGCCGTTATCTGTCACGAGAACATCTGAAACTCCAAAACGGGAGAATAACTGCCGTAGCTTCCTGATAGTCTGTTGCGAAGTGATTTGATTTATAGGAAAAATCTCCGGCCATTTTGAATAAGCATCAACACAAACGAGGAAGTACGTACCCTGGAATGGGCCAGCAAAATCAACATGTATACGCGACCAAGGTTCTTCTGGAGATGGCCAGGAATGTAGTTCAGCTTTTCGTGGACACTTAGAAACCTCAGCACATTTTCTGCACGCACGCACGAAATCTTCGATGTGTTCATCGATATTAGGCCAATATACATAACTTCGAGCAATAGCTTTCATTCTTCCAGTACCTGGATGGGCTGTATGCAGTTGTTTCAGGACGAGTGAGCGTAAGTTATACGGGACCACTACGCGGTCACCAACCATAATACAGTCATTTACGATGGATAAAGATTGGCGTCGTTGATAATACTGTTTCAGTTCATGAGATGTTATACGTGGGGGCCAACCACGCTGGATAAATGTAGATAATCGTCTTAAGATAGGATCGCGGCGAGTGTGTTCAGCGATTCGAGCAGCTGTCACTGGAAGAATTTGTGTTGAATTAAATAACATTCTGCTTACATCTTCTTCCACTGATATAGAAGCGATAACAGTATCTTCGTTTTCAAGCTTATGATTGCTTATTAAGCGCGATAATGCATCAGCATGGCCAAAATCAGAGGTAGATTTGTATTTGATAACGAAATCATAACCCAATAGCATTGTAGCCCATCGTTGGAGGCGGTTTGCGGTATAAACTGGTATACCTTTCTTAGATCCGAAAATTGATAATAGAGGTTTATAATCAGTGATTAAGGTAAATTTTCTGCCATGCAGCATCTTGTGAAACTTTTTTACTGCGAAAATTAATGCCAATCCTTCTTTCTCAATTTGACTGTACTTGCGTTCTGCTGAAGTCAATGTTCTGGAAGCATGTGCGATAACCTTCTCTTTGCCATCTGGAAACTTATGGGATATGACGGCACCGATACCATAGTCAGAAGCATCTGCAGCAACAACAATTTCCAGCGAGGGATCAAAATATGTAAGAAGTAGATCCGACGTTAATAATGACTTTACTTCATCAAAACATTTTTGACACTTAGTGG